ATTTTAAACCTTTTTTTAGGAAAAAAGAAATGGAAGTATTGATGAAATTTTTAATGAAAATAACCTGTATATACCTGTTCTAATGAAATGGTCCGCCATCTTGGATTTTGGCCAATGACGTCATCAAATTAGCATAAATTATGCATATTTAATGATAAAATTTACATAAAATTATATGGGATGTTATTAATATTAGAAACCATGAGTAACTTGACATAAAACCCATAAAATTCTATTGTTGAAACAAAAAGTACTTAATTTAGCAAAAAAATGCCTGTCAGAAACCCGTTGCCATGGCAACACAAAAAATTATTATCTTATTCCAATGATAGAGAATTGTTGCCAACAATATTCTAGGAAAAGTCACCAAGTTTGGCCGTTCTACGGCTAGTCGTTCAGACGCTAGGTGACATCAAAGTTGCCGCGGGCACTTTTAGCCCCCCCCCCGTCTAGGTAGGGTTAACAGCTTGAATTTTTCTTGAATAATAATCTCGTCATTTGCAATTAGCCAAGAGTTAACATTTGCATTAAACTGATTGTTATTAAAAGGAAATACCTTTAGATTCCAGCAGAATCCGTCTTGTTGACGGACCAAACGAGGGCGTTTTGGAAGTTCGACCGGCCGACAGTTGGACTTGGGGCAGAGTCTGTGCTGAACACTTCGACCTAAGGGACGCAGACGTTGTTTGCAGGATGCTGGGCTACATCTGGGCAAACGGCTTTTCAATTTTTAAATACGGTTCGTCTTTTGTTGTCTCACGTAACGACTTTCTTTACGTATTCACATTCGACTCATTAAGCCCTTTTTGTTTGTTTCTATGATGACTACATTTTTTAAAATCTTCTAAATTTTTTTTTTTAGATCGACCACGGCTGGCCTACATGGCTGACCTACAATGTAATGGGAACGAGAGTAGCCTGTTTGACTGCTCGTACGCAGGATGGGGGATTCACGACTGTCAGAATAGAAGATATTCCGGCGTTGTCTGCGGTACATTGATAAAATACTCATTTAAGTATCAATGTTTAGATTGGATGAAATAAAACAATAAATTATAGCTGTTCAAGGCCACTGCCCGCCTGAATTACAATATAATATAACTTTATTTCGCAACAATTGTACAGTGTACAAAGTATGGCATCTACTAACTAACTTAAGCAAGTACATGTCAACTACATTTTCATAAGGCTAATCTAATACAAAAGTGGGTGGCAGTATGAGATAGGTATCAACTTACACAATCGTTGAAGGAGTATCTAATATCCATACAGTCTTTAATATATATCCCCATGTATAGCATGTAGGGGTTGTCACAAGTCAATATGTATTTAAATTTTCTTTCCAAGTTCATTGTGGTGAATACTGGGAAAGAATCTGATAGTCTAGTGTATAGTGCATTGCGTACATTAATATATTTAGGACACACAATCAAAAAGTGATATTCGTCTTCAATAAGCTCTGGACAAAATGGACAAACCCTCTGGTCATTGGGAATTTTATGGAATCTTCCGGTTTCTATACTAAGTTTGTGACAGCCAATTATGAGTTTTGTGATTGCGCTACGTACGTCAAGTCTTTTTATATTTGAAAGGTAGTTTTCTTGTTTATAGTGTTTGTTCAGAGTAGAGAGACAAGAAAGGAAAGTTTGGAATTGTTTTGAATATCGCAATGCCAATTTTGTATGTAAATATTTTGTAGTCGTTGTCGTAGTTGAGCAGTAATTGTATCTAAATGCTATGACTTCGGGTTTAGCCATATGTATAATGTTTACGAATAGTCGACTGCAAAGATTTACGCTTTATTTCTATGCCATTTATAACATATACTACATTGCAAGTTCTCACCTCAGTTTCCACCATGTATATATATATATGTGATGATATATCTAGATCCCAGCAGAATCCGTCTCATCGGTGGTTCCGGGCCTAACGAAGGACGCGTGGAAGTCCGACCAGAGGACAGTGTGACCTGGGGCACAGTTTGCCACAACCGTTTCAACATGGACGATGCAGACGTTGTTTGCAGAATGCTGGGTTATCCTAACGCTACCCAGGTTCGAAATGATGCATATTTTGGCCAAGGTAAGATCTTCATTTTATTTTTTAAGTGGATTTAAAGATTTGTTGTCATTAAGATCGTTTTTAGGGCCGGGACTCACTGCACTACAAACTTTTTAAAACACAGGAACAGGACCAATCTACATGGATGACGTACGATGTGATGGTAACGAGACCAGCCTCTTCAGCTGCTCTTACGCAGGGTGGACGATTCACGACTGTGATCATGGCCAAGATGCAGGCGTGGTCTGTCGTACATGTACGTTCATTTTACTATAATACGTTACTCAGCGTACTTGGGTACAAATGTACCCCAGCGCTATGGTCCTTCACATTCGCCTAGGTGGTGTAGCGTGGCGTAATGGTAAAATATACGGCCTGGAACCAATGGGTCCTGGGTTCGATTTTACCTACATGCCTCGACGTTGTGCCCTTGGGAATACACTTACAAATATCACAAGTATGAAATCCAAGGCAGTTATCACAGTGATTGTTACAAAATTGACCCTTGTGTGGAATAAAATTTATCATCGTAACATCATGGAGAATAATGCAATGTTATAATAATTCCCATGTATATACTATGATATCGTGACCTGGGTGACCTTTGACACCTAGGTCACGTGACCCCTCTTATGAGCTGAAGAAAGATGGCGGATGCTACCTGAAAGCTTCTCTGAGCTAAATTGTCGTCGTGAGTATCAGTTTAACTCATTCTCTAAATACTATGATATCGTTAATAGGAATGATTTTTTTCAGATTCCAGCCGAATCCGTCTTGTCGGAGGTTCCGGTCCAAATGAGGGGCGTGTGGAAGTCCGGCCGGCCGACAGTCCCAGATGGGGCACAGTTTGTCACAACGGTTTCGACTTGAAGGATGCAGAAGTTGTCTGCAGGATGCTGGGCTATCCGAATGTATATGGAGTTCGCCCTTATGAATATTTTGTCGCAGGTACAACTTTACTTTACACATAGGAGTATTTATGATAATGATAATGCACATCATTTGAAACTATTTTCTCAGTGTATTACTGAAGGAAGACCTTTATTGTACTTATGAAACAAGTTTGAACTACAATATTCAACACAAAAAATTGGACTCACCAAAATTTTCGACTGTACAACTCCAGTCTTTGTCAAGGAATGAGCAATCCACCGCTTCCGTGACGTCACGCAGAAAACACACATGATTTCGTGAGCAGTAGATCATAGGTTGAGAAAGTCTGTGGCGCCCCCCGTCTCTGTTGAGGGATGGTTGTAATGCCCTGATGTAGATGGCCTCTTTAACCCCTTGTGCGAATAAGTCCGATTCTGTGTCCAAGACTCTTCCTTTAAACAATTAGACTGAATGTCCAGGTGATTCAATATGTATATGTTGGGACGTACCTGTAGGGCAGTTCAAACTTGTTTCATAATGACTTCTACCAACACAGATGAACTTTCAATATAACCTTTATTGTACATCTTTGCCCGACTGTGCTAAATAAATACAGGTTACATGTTGACAATCATATGCATCGGCGTGTACAAATGTAATACCTTTTGTACACGTCGATGCATATGATTGTAAACATGTAAGCTGTATTTACCACAACCCGCCGTACGTGTTTTTTTGGCGACGCCTTAGGGGCGGAGGCATTTGTGTAAGTACTACGATCGCTTTGAAAGAATTTCAAAAATTGCACGAATACATTCCCTAGGGAATTGCTTTTGAGCAACATTCGATATTCGGCCATGTGGTCTTCGGATCGAGAAGTAAACCTTAAATCAGACGTAAAGTCCAGTCCACGGCGGTCTGTCACTACGGCACTCTGTGTACCTAAGACGCGCTTTCTTTCCCCCAGCAAAGACCTCATTTTAATATTATAATGACATTGAAATGAGCAAGGTGCGAGTAGAAGATCGTAAATATGCAATAGGTATGGTGATAATTGCTGTAGCTTCACCACCCACTACCCCTCCTGCTATTTTGCATTTGTATTGAGCTAACTTCACACCCTCTTTGTATTTTCAGTGTTCTATGTCACTTCATAGCTTGAAACATGCTTGAATTGAAAGTAAAAATGAGAAACATTTTCCTAAATGGCGTTCCTAAATACAGCATGTATCCACCAGAATCTAACTCAAGTCTATATGACGGGGTCTTATAAATTGGCGATGGCGCCCCAATTTCAACTGTGCGAGGTTATAACCTCCTTGATTTCAGCCATGTTCAGACAATCTTTGTTCTCCATTTTAGTACCAAAACATAGTGTATTCCGAATTCCAGGAGATTATATTACGGACTAATCAGGGAGGTAAATTTGTACTAGCGTTAAACGCATTGTGTGAACCATAGAAGGTAGAATTATAACCTACTTGTGTGAACGAAGACCCATAGCACGCTATATAGGTCCAAAGATATAGCAAGGACTGAAGGAGGTTATAATCTCATAGTCCTTGGTTATTTAGCCAGCGTGCGTTGCTCAGTGTCCAACTGACAAGGGCTGACAAGGCCTGTGCATTATATATATTTAGCCTCTACCAGGCTTTGAAAGGTAGCAGGAAAGAGAAAGAAATTGGTTGATAACATGCACCCGGACCAACTCCCTCAGCATATTGTCTCTCTATTTTGGCCAATTTCTAATATTTCCAGCCACCTCCAAAAGACTGGTAAAGGCTACTGTGAGAGACTACGATGGCCATAGTTTACAAACAGGATTCAAAATGACCATTTTATGTGCTAAATGTTCTTTAGTGGCCCCTATAAAGAAAAACTAGTGCTACCATTATGTAACATTTCACGTCATCAAGATTAAAATTTAAAGCACGTACATGGCGCTCAAAATAAACATTGTGAAAACGGAGGAATGACAAGAAACGACATGAACTGTATAATGGAATAAGCAAGGAAGTTTAGGGAGATACAGGACACGGTCGTAGGTGCATGTTTGGAGCCAGACAAGTCAATACACATCAAACGATTTTTCATTTCACTGGGCCAGGGTTAAAAGTCTATTAGAAATTTTCTTCAGATGAATTAGAACACATCTAGCTATCTTCTGCCCAACAATTAGAGCTGTTGTTCAGGTTCATAGCTGCTCTATATATAAAACTACATTTCAAACCCAGAACTTTCTATTCGAGAAGTAAGAAACAAATGTTTAAAAACAAAGACTTGTGGTAGAGTCTGAATTTGAATGGATACATGCTGCCGTCTGCTCGCTATGCATAATTAAATATAATTGCCTGTAATGGCCTTGAGTGGAGGTGCGAAAACAATTAATTTCATTCACAGTCATGAGGATTGATAAAGATTGACAGGTCAAGGAAGGAAATCGACCAGAATTTAGAGTTTTAAACTTTAAAGCCCGAGACCAAACTCTTCCCATGGGTTTACAAAGTTGAAATCGGGTGCAAACAATGCGTAAGAAGTCGGTTTCTATGAATCGGTTTTCAGAAAAACTACTTTATCCCCGTATATCTAGCTATTGGTAGATAAAGTCATACCTACCCCCTAAAATTCTACCAAAATGGACTATATTTCAAAATATTTTCAAATCTAAGCTATATTCTTCTTTTCTGGAAACCGATTCCTACAAAGAACATATCTCTCCACATTCTCTGAAAGTTTTGTATTACAAATCTGAGTGGAACGGTTTGGTCTAGGTCAATTTTATATATTCACAATGATCTAATATTATTATCATTTATGGAACAATTGTGCAGATTTTCGAAAGAGGATGTAGTTATTTAGAATCAGTGGTATTTCATCTAAGTTACTTCCAAATTTGAAGTTGATTGGTCGCGCCAAACTTGAGATACATGCGATTTCACGGGTAGCTATGTATCACCCCCATTTTAGTCAAAAGCGCGTCTTAGGTACACGGAGCATTCTTTCCCATTGCTAGGCGCGTTCTAAAAAGTATCGGGTTACAAGACGCTATTTTGGCCGATTTTGGCCTACCAGTAAAACACTTGAACATAAACAAAAATGATTTAATGGTAAATTTCGTTAAATTAAAATGAAATTATTGCCTTAACATCCTTTTGATATTAGCTGTTTATGTTAAATCATTGATTTTTCAAAATTTCGCTCCGAAAGACGATTTTTTTCGGGTTTCCGACCACAAGTCATGCCATGTTTTTCGGCAAACATCGTTTTAACCTGGCTACGTATATTACCCCAGATCCCCGATTTTTCTATTTTTCGACGACAAGGAATAAGATAAAAAATTGTGTTTTAGGGATTTTTTAATTTCTGATTTTAAGTCTAGTTTTTGTCGACATATTGGTGAAAAAATGATTTTTTAAAAACATTTTTCGCACTAAATTACCTATAATTCAAAATTGAGGCCATTTTTCAAAAATTCCTAAAACACGATTTTCGGGACAACCGTAACGGTCATTTTGAGCCGTAAATGGGGTATGCTTGACTCTCCATTCTTGCAGGTTAAAACGGGTTTTGCAGACATGTCATGTCGACCAAAAGTGTGCATTGTGTTATTCATACTGGCGTAAAGAATCATTACAGTATTCAAGGTCACCCAAGGATACGACAGTAGCTTCGCTACATGTTACATGTCCACAAAAAAAAATGATAGCGGACATGTATTGTCCAGGAAACTGTTTGTATCTATAGAAAAGTGTTGTTTTTTATCTGCTGCAAGGCACGGAGGCAGAAAGGCTTGTTTTGCCGCTTTATTGTAAATGACCGCAGGTGACCCCGAAATAGAACGCGGGTTCGATTCGAATTGCCCAGATCGAACACGATCGAACACAGTTCGGGTTCTATGACATGTGGGAACTTTGCAGCCCAGATTTTACCACCGTGGTCTCTGATGGAGGATAGAGTGAAGAGGAGAGTAGTTTTTTTTAAAGCTTGGTTCAAGCAGGAACTTGGCCAAAGTAAAGTAAGTAAGTATGTCATTATATCGCCCTGGAAGAACGGCTGATTTCTCCTATACGTGTATTCGGTACATGTATATAGCCCTACACCTCCTCCCTGCATCCTGCAGATTCCACTACAGGCATGTGTTTAAAATAATAATCTGTTTTTCCTATATTTGTAATGGAGATTGCTAGCTCCACCACATGCAATAAAAAACATCCAGTCGTCGCCTTGACAATTGTTTTTATATGACTTGTTGACCCTCGCTTAACGTAGGTAATACCTACAAAATGTATTACCTAATCTACAAATATGGCAAATTATTGTAATGACTACATCTGATCTGTTAACTTTTTGAAACTGTAGGAACGGGACCGATCTACATGGAGGACCTACAATGTGATGGGACAGAGAGTAGCCTGTTTAACTGTTCGCACAAGGGATGGGGAATTCATGACTGCGAGCATTCTGATGTCGTCGGCGTTGTTTGTGGTACGTGTGTGGAACATTTTGGCAATTTGCTACCATTAATTTCAGCGTTGGGCGTTTCATGAGAAGACTTGTTTAATGAACACATTAGCAGGACTAACAAACATCCTGGCAGCTGGCTAAAACTGTGGTTTATTGAGGTTTATCGTGGAACAAGTCTCCTTTAGCTGACCTTTCATGGGTGACAGCTTTTCTTCCAAGAGAGGGGATGAGAGCTGCCCAAAACCACACTCGATAGACATTCTTCCAGGAGAGCTGGCTTAAACTTGATTTAGTGTTGTTCATGATGACTGCTTTCTACTTGAGAACTTTTAACTTCCAATAAACTTGATATGATAAAGAGTTTTGTTAGGCCACAGCAAGTAAATTTTATGGATGAAATCCGCATGCACGTGCCTTAGTGTATCAATTTTCGGCTAATTTTGATTTATCATATACATGATAGTTTACGGGACAACTATATACTATGCCTTTGTTAAAAAAACACGTTTAGATCACATCAGAATCCGTCTTGTCGGGGGTTCCAGTCGGAAAGAAGGACGTGTGGAAGTCCGACCGGCCGACAGTATGACCTGGGGCACAGTTTGTCACAACCAGTTTGACATAAAGGATGCAGACGTTGTTTGCAAAATGCTTGGCTACCCCAGTGCCCAACTAGTTCGTAACGATGCGTATTTTGGCCAAGGTGAGATTTACCTTGTTTCAACTAATTTTCCTGTGATGTACTAAGTATAAAGGAAACAATATGTCAGTAGGACTGAGATGACAGAGGAGTTGTATATTCGTTGTTTCGTCTGCTGTGTGATGTGGCGATGTGGTAAAAGTGGCTTCCACAGAGACTGCAGGACTGCTGAAGCTTGAGCAGGTCTTTGGTTGATCTCTGGCTTTAGATCCCCTGTCTTGGAGATTATGGATCCGAGATACTTGAACGTTTAGAAGCTGGCTACATTTTACCACATTCATGAATTTCATAACTATCCTTCGCCATATCTCAATGTTGCCTGATATGATTGGTGTCGCTTCCTGTACAGGAAGAGGGCCAATCTACATGGATGACCTGCACTGTACTGGGGACGAGAATAGCCTGTTCAACTGCTCGTACCCAGGATGGACGATTCACGATCTAAACTGTAACTACGACCAAGCTGCAGGCGTGGAGTGTACAGGTACGTTCATTTTTAAATGTTGTAGAATCATGGATTGTTTAATCATCTTTGTATTTATTACATATACCTACAAACATAGCTACAACATCTTATATACAGCAATTACGTTAGACGACCGAAATGATTTACAATCTGATCTTTACAATATGTAATGCATAAAACTTCATATTTTATAAACATATGAAAACATACCCAATTACATATACTTACAAACATATTGACAACATCTTATTTAAAACGATTCTGTATAAACGTCCAAAATGTTCAAATTTTTGTAAACAAACCAATCAATCAATCAATCAATCAATCAATCAATCAGTCAAATGGTTTACTTTCAACCGACTTCGCAGCACCAGGCTGAATATCGCCAATTGTAACATTCGTTTTAAAACATTATACATTATAAAATACATTATATACATTATAAAATGGTACATTAATCGTTAATGGTACATTAAAAGGAGCGTCTTACTTTAAAATCATGTGGTGTGCGAGTACAACAATGAAGTTCTGACATGACATAAATATAAAAGCAACATTTGTCAACAGTGTTTCATTTAGTGTTAAGTATCCTTATCATAGACGGTACTGCACTATTTTTGTATCTAGTGGTACGAGAGATTGGTAAAGTCAGTGCTTTTGCGTTCCGTAGATTACGTCCATGTGTCTCTGCGCGGGTTCGGGGTAACAGATCTGCTGTTCGTTCTGATGCTTGTAGACTGGCGGCGAATTTTCGGCAGGGGCTGGTTCTTCTCTGTTAGAGAGTTTCGAGTCCGCACAGTTGCAAGGCTGACGCGTAGTCGGTGTAGTGTCGCCCGAGGATCGTCCGGCAGGCGCGTCATTTCGAGCGTTGCAGACTGTTCGCGCGTTAGGTTGTGGTGGTACACTGGGGCGCCGTAGATCGGTCTAACATAACCGCAATACACTGTAATCAAGTCAACCACCGGAAGTCCGAATGTTTTCAGTCTTCGGAGCATAAACATGCGCTTATTTGCCTTTTGTGTAAATTCGCTGACTTGTCTGTCCCACTTCAAATTGGCTTGCAGCCACATTCCCAACACTTTAGCCACGTCCACCGTCGGAAGGGGTTTGCCCTCAAGGGTTATGGGTGGAGGGGGAGGAGGGTTCCTCATAAAACACACAGTTAGTACCATGCATTTGTCCGGATTCAATTTCAGTTGTGCATTGTTAGACCACAGTTCGAGTGAATCCACTTGCTCTTGAAGAGTTGACTGCTCTCTAACATGTTTGTTTTCACCGAGTGATAAATCGTCCACGTACTTCCTCCGATCGTCATGAGATTCACTCGCGTCATTGATCATGCATAAGAGAATAACGGGGCCTAGCTTAGTGCCTTGGGCCGGGGCACGCCTGTAGATAGTGTTTCCCAGTCTGACACGGCTGATCCATAGCGTACTCTCTTCTGTCGTCTGCCGGTTAGGAAACTTACAATCCATGGTAGTATTGAGACTCTAGTACCCATGCCCAACAGTCTGCATACGGCGAGTTGATGGTTGACGGTGTCGAATGCTTTTGTGAAGTCCGTTAAGACTACCCTTCCAACATTACCGGATGCTTCCGCTCCTTGATACAGAAAATGTGTCAAGCTTACGAGACAGTGGGTAGTTGAACTTCTCTTGATAGATCCGAATTGACGCCGTAAGAAAACATAAAAAAAACGACATGTATACATGTAATGGCAAATTGAACTTCATATGTTTGTAAACAACAACAAAAACAATGTCTTCTTTCATCACAAATAGCACAACCTTTCCTGTTGGTTACTACCGAGGATGGAATATTTCAAATTGAAGTCAAGGACGGGTCAAAGGTCAATGTGTTATCAGGATGGCACCTGTCACTGGACTACGACCCTATGACTGATTTCATGTACTGGACAACTGATGAAGGCATTGAACGGGCTCGTCGTGATGGAAGTAGGCTGGAGACCATTGTGGAGTTTGAAACAAACAGTGGGTGATATTCGTCAATCCATTTCTTGTTACTAATCATCGTTGTACCGTATGCCTTACGGAATTTCACATGTACAATGTATGCGCTTGTACTACAGGGGCATTCATTGCAGACTAAAATTGCAAAGAAAATCACTTCCTTGCTGTTTTGGTCAGTTTAAAGCATCCACGTGCACCTTCAGGCTTGAAGTGAAATGTCCCTATTTGTGAAATTTTCAAAGTTTTCAACGCAATTTGAATAAAAATGTAATACCCTCCATTTTGTTCTTATTGACTGCAACTTATAACGATATCTCCATCTGTTGTTAAATGTAGCATACGGGCGTAGCCTAAGATTGGACCATGCTGGTGGGAATGTGTACTGGAGCGACAATGTAGGACACATCTCAGTAGCCCGGAAGGACGGATCGTTTGTCAGGACACTTCTGACATTACAAGGCTTCGCTGAGAGGCTGGTCCTGGATCCCAGAAACGGGTAATTTCATTTAAAACAAGCAGGGCTAAAAATGAGTGCAGTGTGTTTGACATTATCTTTATATTGCATTGACAAAGCAATTTAAGCAAGACTCAAGATAAAGAGTCAAAAACACCTTGGTCGGCCCCTTTAGACAGATCAACATTGAAGCTAAACCTCCAGGTCACCCCCCTATATATACGTGATAATTGTATTATTAAATCTGTTAAAGTTCACAAGCAAGGAACGTTACTTACCTCCACCATGTCAGGGGAAACTCAAATTTCACACATGATTGCTAATGTATCCAAACGAGTGTCCACCCTTAAGAAATTGAAATTAAGAGCACTTAAACAACATCATAATGGCACCATTATGTCACCAAAGCTGTGCTTATGAAGTTTATAGTACACTATCCTCTAAATATGATGTACTGTACACTATGATGATGATTATCCTCTGAAAATGTGTTGGTTATTATACAATAAGTAGTAAAAAAGTCTGAATATGGTCCAGAGAACTCTTAAGTGATGGAAACCAGTTCTGCTGTAATCATGTAAACATTAGTGTGCCGAGTTATCTTTTATTCTGCTCTTTATTTACATCTCAGATAAAATGGGTCTCTGTTTCTTAATGCGATGGCCTATTTTTCACAGACTCATGTACTGGGTGAGCAACCGCGACAGTATTGACCGAGCAGCGATGGACGGCAGCAACCACACTACTATCATCAGGAATCTAACTCTTGCCCTTTCCATTGCAATAGACTACACAGGTGAGATGGAGAAAACAAGCAATAGAGAAATATCCTCGTAAAAACCTATTAGTACACAAAGGGCAACTTTGTTATGATACTGCTGCTGAAAAGTTGGACATTGTAAGTTTTTTTTTTCATGTATAGTGTCTTTCTTCTATCTGTAAGACCAAACATTTGATCAGGGGACGCCACGTTTTCATACTTACGCTACATGGTGTGATCTGAAAATAAGGGCCCAGCCGTTTCTATTCAGACATGTTAACAACAGGCACAAGTGAGTAAATGATGTCATGTACCCTCCAACATTAGGAAAAAAGAAGAGCTAGATAACTACTGATTTTTATTACGTGATTTCTTATACAATACGAAATGTTTAGGAAAACGATTTAAAACTAATGAATGTTTTTCTCAAGCGTTAACCCTAAAACTTTGAAAATTTGAGTAGGAGCTACATCGGACTGGCCTGCATAGGGCTAAATGATCAATAGATATAAACTCCTTAAATTTTATGATGAATAATGCTGGATCTCATTAATTAATAAACTATTTTGACTTACCATTGCTGAAATCGCACCTATTTAATCGTTTTTGCTGAAATCTCGTTTTGTCCATTGTAATATTTATTCCATATTAGCACTTCCTATAGACCTGAACAACAGTATCATGCAGGTAATGATTCGATGGGAATCTGGATGTTTTTCTGCTTTAAAAGTTGTTTTTCTTCCAACCAGAGAATCGGCTGTACTATTCCGATCGTGAGGCAATCTACAGCTCAGACATGCTCGGCAACAATACACAACTTGTTAACCGAGAAGGGGAACGTGTCCCAGGGATAGCGGTTGGTGATGATGACATCTACTGGATACATTTTTGGCCTGGGGTCGGGACTGCTGACGTCGCAAGGCAGGAAAATCCCCTTCATACATTTTATCTTTCTCGTAAGAAACCGTAGTTATAATTTATAATTTTAGACGAATGCGAAAACAATTGTTATTGAATAGGTCTCGCATTTCAGTATCTCTATGTAACAATTTGCTGACATAACGTTATATATCACAACTCCAGGTTATCCAAGTCAAGCATGGACCAGACTGTTCTGGTAGATGGCCTGTGGAGGGCACGGGACATCTTCCTGTCCACGGCGTCTCCTCCTAACGTCACCAATGGTAATTACCTTTGCCAGGAAGGTTATATTCCCGGTGGCATGTACCTGTGTTTTTAAGAGTGTTACTGTGAAACACAGCCTTTATCAAATATGGTTATGTCAACACAAATTACATATATTTGATATGTGATTGTAAAAGTTCATTCCTCTGGTAATGTTTAATTTCAATATGTCATCAGTAGTTAAGCACATGACCTCTACAGTAATCTACATTTTATGCATTTGTGTGGTAATAGCTTGGGAAGTTGTCAATTAGGAGCCATGATAATTGGGATGTAATCGCCGTAATAAAGGTAGTAAATGTACATTTCATCGGTTCAATATGAAGTTTAGTAAGGCCCTCGCCAAATTTCATCTTACATAGCGCCTGAATGGCTTGCGCTAGAACCGTCGAATTTGGTGACTTTTCCTAAAATATCTGGCGACAATTTCATATTGACTTGGTAAGTAAAGTTTTGAGTTGCCATGGCAATGGGTTTCTGACAGACAGTTTTTATGAACTTAAACTTTGACTAGACTTCAATAAATATGGATGGGTAGCTGCAAAGAAACATCAATAAAAATCACACATTACAAATCAGGACACAATTTACAAAGTGAGAACTAATAATTATGAGTTCATGCCCCTCCCCGAGGTGTATATGGTGAGATAATCCCTGGTCAGGTAGGATAAGCACCGAATAAACAACAGAGTGAGGGTGAACGAAGGATTATCTCACTAAAAGGCGGGGCATTTACGTTATTATCATATAGCCCATCCAACTGATACAGTTATTTGACACAAATTCCTATATAAAAACCCCTCATTGCTGAAAAATTCCTTTTTTGCCGAAAGAAACAAGATGCATGGACAAAAAGAGATCGTCTACGGTCACCAAGTGACATTGGAACAGAATTACTTTTGATGGGGATGTCAAAAACTATGTTTAGTCTTTTTCTGCTGAAATTGCATTTATATCTTATTAATTGTGTTGTTCGAAATCCGTATTTCATTCAATTGTTCGAAATTAACTAATAGATAAATATTACGAGTCGTAACACTACTGTTAGTGTCCTGTCCCCTGTATAATGGTACGGTCCAAAAGGGGTCTGTTATTTGAAATAAAAACGACCACTGTTAAGGTTTTGGCCTGATAACCAATGGGAAATAAGTAATAAGTTGATACATGATATATAAATAACCTATATAGATAGCCTCAAAAAGACAATTATAGATAGTACAGTACCTCTTTGGTTAATGATTGGGTTTCATATATGAGACACGAGTAATAATGCCTTAATAATTCATATATTGTGCAATATGTATATAACGTTCATAACAATACATCTAGCTAGTGAAAATATACTTAGCTGTTATAACTTCTGCTAACTTGAGCTGTCATAGTATATTTTGAAAACTGATATTTTGATAGACTGTTTGAAAATTTGTTTTTATACAATCATATCTGGAATCTTACCTTGCTCATGTATCCGCATGTCAGCCTGTTCCTCGTCCAATGGAGGATGTCGGGAGCTTTGCCTTGCGCATCCAGAAGGAAGAACGTGCGCCTGCCGGGATTTATGGGAACTGCAGGAGGATGGACTGAGCTGTGAGTAGAATATCGTCTGGGACCTCGTCCTCAAAACAAAACCGACCAATCAGTTACTACGTTTTAGTATAACGTAGGCCTTGATGTTTTGCATATGTGATTACGTTAAGCTAAAGTAGTCTTCGTCATGTACAATTTTGTGGATTTTGTAATTGAGTTTATAAAGGTACATTCAGATTTGATTAATATTGCTCTATTGTTAGCACCCTTCGACCATCTGATTATATTTCTAATGCCCCGGAGCACCTAGAATGATTTTCATTTCATAATGCATACTTGTTAAAGATATTTCTACCAGTGTAAGTGTACTTATTGAAGTACAATACATTTCTTGAGAGTGTAGGTTGCACGTGCTTGCGTTAACCATGCATAGGTACTTTGAATTCACCTTCATGTTGTTGTTAATCCAGAGTGAGACTTAGTGTACAAGTAGTTAACTAGCAAAGCGGTAAGAGTGCTCTAAATAGTCTCAATGTCAAATGAAAGACCCAGCTATACCGTTTTGTATTATATTTCTACAGGCTGTCCCTCTGGCTATACTGCATACGGGGGTGCGTGCTTCAAGGCGTACAACCAAGACAAAACCTACAGCCAGGCCAGAGAGGTGTGTGCAGCGGACGGGGCGCTCCTGGCCATGCCGAAGGACAGAGACGTGGACAACTTCGTGAGAGAGCTGAAGAACGCCGTGAATAAAATCTCACATTTCTGGTTTGGTCTAAATGATGGGAACAATGAAGGTGAGTGGGTGTGGGAAGACGGGACTCCACACGACATCAGTACCGACTGGAACCTCTGGCAGCCGGGAGAACCCAACGGTAACGAGGGAGAAAACTGCGCAAACTACTATGGATCAAGCTGGAATGACGCACCGTGCTCCTCTGCTTACAAGTTTATCTGCCAGCTGAATGAAGGTATGTCACATAATGTTCTATAAAATCAACATAAGTTTTTCTTCAAAATTACAGTTCCTTCATTGTCCCCGTAAAGGCTGTATGAAATTAACGCCTTGTGTTTATTTCATTTGTGTCAGTTTATTCATTTGTCTTAAAGTTTGTTGTTTAGGAGGCACACCCCAGTTTATTTTGGGTCTTAATTCGATTCTGCATACCCTCAACTCTAGCGACCGTCTCTTTCAGCAAGTACCTCTTGAGCTTTTTATGGGCACTACCTTGGATTGGTGTGTGCACCGTTTACTTAGAATCAGAAATTTCTAAGTTATGTTATTTATAAACCTTACGCCTCACATACATTTGATTAT